TGCCATTTGAGAGGGAAGTAATTGGTATATATATTTTAAAAAAAAAAAAAGAAGAAGAAGAAGAAGAAGAAGAAGTGGAAGGCCAAGGTGGCCAGCCCCTAAACAAGGCTGGGTCTACTCAGTACTAGTAACCAGCAACTGAGGTCAGAGAAGAGGAACAGAGAGATTGTATCCCTAGATCTATACCTAGAGCCTTCCCGCTTGTTTCCCAGCTCTCCTCTGTGTGTGTGTATTTGGATCTATATGTGTATAAATGTGCAATATTTTCCAGCATCATTCCCATCCAAATTATTCTGTCCTATTTTGAGTACCTGGATCAAAACATATATCAAAACACTTCATTTAGAAAATATCATCACTGTGCAAATAGTGAATAATATTAGCTGCCCCTGATATTGTTCATTCTCTTATATGTGGATGAGCCCTTGACTGCCTGAGAAGTTTTCTAATCAACTCTTCAGGAAAAGAGGATCAGCTGTCTTCAGACACAAGAGAATGGTTACTTTTACTGTGGTGCCCCCTAGTGCTGATCGGATTAGACTCACTTTCTGTATTTGCCAAAATATAGACCACACAAGAGAAGCAAAATTTGGAGAGTTAACAATGTTGGTAATTTTTCCTGTATTTCCTTTGGCGTAGGAGAGAATGAAGAGTGTTCCTTTAGCATGATTCACAAGATCCTCTGTGAACTGCTTCCCACCTCACCAGCTTTTCAGCTTCATCTCCACCACTTTCCCACAGGTATACTCAACTTGAGCTATTCAGGAAAACTTGCTGTTCCTGCCTAGTAAGACTCCCGCCCCTACCCACCGATTCCCATCCTCTTGTCTGCTTAAAGAATTTATCCTCCTCCTTCTAGTATTAGCTGAAGCATTATCTGCCACTGCAGGTTTTCCTGACTCCCCAGAAGGCTGAGGCAGCCCCTCCCTCTTCTCATCTTCCCATTGTCCCTTGAGCATGTCACTCTTTTGTCCCCACCCTGCATCTTGACTGTGAGTGCAAATAGTTCAAAACCTTCTCCAATAGATGTTTACATCTCCAATGCCTCAAACAGTACCTAGCACAAGTAAACATTCAGTAGAAAAAAATCTATGTAAGGATGGCTTCATTGATAATAGGAAGAACCATAGTGTAGGAATCAGGAGTTTCTGGTGAATTAACTAGCTAAGTGATCACGAATGGTTCACCTACCCTCTCTAGGTTTCTTTTTCTTATCTGTAAATAGACTATATCTAATACCTGCCCCCAAATTCAATGATTCTATATGTTTAATGCCTCCTTTAGAAGCCACAAAATGCCTTATGACAAGCCAAGTCAACTTTGGATGTTATGTTTTAATTCTCAAAGATTTACTTATGTAAAGCAAATTCATATTCCTTTGAAATTATCTTATTTGCAGGTCTATCATTAAAAAAGAATTTCTAAAAACTTGCTAAATTACATGGAGACATTTAAATTAAGCTAATCTGAAACAAGATTTTCTTCAGCAAACTCCTCTTTCTCTTATTAAATGATACAAAGAAAGGTCCAAGTTGTAGCTGAAAATGTCATTAAGAAACTGAATTCTAATTCCAGCTCTCACTGATACAGAACTGGTCAACCCACTTTTCTAAGTATCTCCACTTCTATTTTTCCCAGCTGAAAAAAAGTGATAAAAATGTAAGCCTTTAACGGTAGGAATTGCTGAAAAAATAATGACTAAAAGCCTTCACATCTTTGAGGGTGATGATAAAGGTGATACGAATCTTGGAAGAGCCAAGTTTCAATGGTTTCAATGAGGTTTCTCACACCTTATAGGTCAGCCTTTTCTACTTTGTTCCATAGCTGAAGTTCCAAGTAAGACTGGAAACCTGACAATGTAAGTGGACGTCCCAATGTGATATCCAAACAGTGTGTATTGGTTTTGGTGATAGAAGCATTGAATTATATACCTTGTGTCATGAATATTCTTACAGGGCATTCACTTCTTTCCCTTTTATAAAAAGTGTGTTTTGCTAATTCAGAATAGGTTATTTAGATACGTACAGAATATATAACCTAAATATAGAAAAATATGTATGTGCGAATTTGATTCCTCTCAATCCCTTCTTAGGAGCCAGGAAATCCATAAGCTTAAACACAAAAATCTACTAACTCACATTTTGTATTTCTCAAATCCTTATATCCATTCTATGAACATATAAACTATATATTCATAAGATATTGAGCTGGAAGACATCTTATTGATCATCTGATCCTACTTTCTCATAATACAGATGATAAAATCAAGGCCCAAAGAGGAAAGTAGATTAGATGAGGAGTGGGTAGGGTCTAACATTTTTTCTGGCATCTTGAAAACAAAATATTCTGCATTTCATGTTTGTAGATAGACCTAATCCAGGGATGAGAAAACAGAGGTTACTAAATAAACTTGATTGAAAGGAAAATTGACAGCCAAATGGAGCTTGGTAGCTATCTCTGTATTTATAGAGCCATTCATGTAGGCAATTTTTCATAGACTAAAAAAAATAAATCTAAGAAATAAACGGGAAAATCATAATTATTTCCCAAAAACTTTTCTCTCGCAATAAAAGAGGTCCAATTTAACTGGGTAAATGGTAAGCATTTCAGCTCTATTTCACCTCCAATACACATCACTGTAACATTATGTCTTATAAAATAGAGGTTTGACTTGCATCACCACTACCAACACCACCACTACCACCGCCCCCCCAATCCCTCAATCAAAATTCCAAACAGTATTGTAGATGAGTTTTAAATGGCTACTAGTCTATGTCTCTTTTTCAACAGCTGCTCTACAATGCTCTCTCTCAATCTCTCTGTCTCTGTTTCTCTCTGTCTCTCAAACACACACAAACACACACACACACAAACACACACACACAAACACACACACACACAAACACACACACACACACTGCTGCTACCACTGCCACCAACATTATTTGGTAAACTATCAGGTTCTAGGGAAAACACACACAACCCATCTATGCTATCCTTCTCATAATGAAGTGTAAATAATAAACACGAGATTAAATGTAAGGACCCATCGTGCTGTCCCAGATCCTATAACAATATAAGAAATTACATTAGCTAATTAGAAATAAAAAATTTATAATTAACATCAAGTGAAGAATTTCAAATATCTGAGCAAACAAAAAATCTATATTCAGAGTAGACAGAAGCATGTTTCTTAAGCAAACAACTCAAATAAACCACCTATGTCTTGCTTCCGTCTCTGTGCCAGGACTATAGAAGCTAATTCTCCCCTAGAGATCACTCACCATGAGGTTTACTCTCCTAGAAACCAGCACCCTGCTTTTCTTCCCACAGCTTTCCTTCTGTCCCAGAGTTGCTGGATGGCTTGTTGGAAAGGACCCCCTCTTTTTCTCAACATCTCCTGGATATTGATAGTCCAAGGTGACCCCAACCACCAGCAAGCTGCACAACTGTGTTTCACCTTTTGCTCTCTCCTGCTCAGAGCCCTCGTGCAATCAGTTAGCCTTGAATGGAGCCATGTGTCCTGTGTTTTATCATCCCATGGTGTAAGGAAATATGTAACACTGTGGTTATTAGAAAAAGCACTCTTAGGGCTCCCAGATTGGTGAATGCACTCAGCTGTTCTATATTTGGTTACTCTCTTTGTTTTCTTCTCAAAAGAGCCTAATTCCGGTCGATGTCTTGGGCATCCGGTCGATGTCTTGGGCATCCTGCCACGGACACCTTACTCTTCCCCCACACCCTCTCCCCGAATCGCCTACTTTAATTTCACCCAAAGAGTTCTGCGAGAAGACGTAACCGTGTGGTGTGATGAGAAGATGAGTGTGTTGTTGTGCTCACTGGTCTGCAGACCTGAGCGTGACACCAGCTACACTTCTGGAATTTGGAGACACAAGCACTGTCTGTGGTACAGTGATCATAACCACACACACTCTTACCAGCCTCCATGCACTGAAAACCCTATTTCCTGTAGGCAGAAACAAGCCCAGGCATTTGCCAAGACTGCTCATCTCATTCTGGTTTCATTGGAGGTGCTTAATCTCAGACAAGACAACCAGAAATCAAAGTTTGTATTACCTGACCTTTATCAGGGAGAAACATTTCTAAACCAAAGCAACCAGCTGGAAAACAAGATTATCAGACTAGCTCAACAAAGGAACACGAGGAGAATATAGATTTATTTTTCTCCAGTGGCATCTTCTGCAGTGAAGAACATCTTTAAATACCTAATAATGTTTTTATATCTGAACTAGTGAATAAGAAAAAATAATGCAAAAGACAGAAGTGCGGAACAAGAATAAAGTGAAGGAAAAATGGAAATATTTTAATTACATGGGGAAAAATACTAGAAAGATAATCTCCTCCTACATGATGTATTTAATAAGGTGAGAAAAAGATGAAATGATGTCTTTAAGTTATGACTGGAAGAGATAGATTGTGAGAAACAATATCTGATTAAATCATTGGGGTGAATGAGTGAGCACGCAGGCACACACACATGCACACACACATTGCTCCCCTATTAATACTGATACCTTCAGCATTCTTTAAAAAGAAAATCGCCTTGCAGGTCTATAGAGTTTATGAATATTATGGGAAAGTGGAACTGGTCTCTTTCTTATTTCCTTCTAATATTAATTGCCTGATCAAACACATTACTATCACAATGGGTAGACCAGGTATATCAGTGACTCAAAGCTTCAAAGTGACAGCTTATAAAGGGATACCAGGATTCTTGCACTGCAAAGAAAAAGAAAAAGATCTAAAAGCGGTGCCTCTGCCCTACCTCCACTCTGCCCTACCACTGCCACTGCTGAAAAGAAGGAAGGAAAGGACAGACAGAAGGGCGTTTAACCACACTTTATGATTGCTGTGGGGAGGGGAAAAAAAAAAAACTCAACACTTTTGGCATAAGATTATTTCCAAGCGACTGTTTGCAGCTGTTGCAGCTGCCATCAGCATGAGCTGGTGGGAAAACAGCGCCCAGCGGTGCATCTTACCTGAAGAGCAGAGAAGTGCAGGCAGATGTAGGTGAAGCACAGGAGCAGCCCCAGTCCCTGAATTACAGAGGCCACCAGCAATAGCTTGTTCCTCTCGAATCTTGGCCTGGCTGCATTTCCCACATTCTCTTCCAGGGGTTGGACCCTTTCCATCTTCACAATCTGGGTAGAGGGAAAATGAAGATATGGAAAAGGGGAACCTGGGATAAAACTGATGTTTTCCCCACAAAGGAGGAGGTAAAGGCAAAACAAAGCCTATCAATCAGAAAATAGGCAAAGGTCCCAGGGCCAGAGATAAAAGGCGATTGAAAGAGCAAAGCGGACTCTCTCAGTTTTAACGCTGCAACTTTTGCAGGCAGGCGGGGGAACTTCTTTGTGACTAATCTGAATTTCCCCTTTACTTTCTTTCTTTTTTTTTTCCTCTGGGCTAACAGGGAGTTGTTTTTGTGACATTCCAGTTCTGATTTGAGTGACTGTGAAATGACAGTCATAAAAGTATGCTATTTTCTTAACTCATTGCACCAGTAACAAATTGTGGGTCACTTGGTAAAGATAAAAATCATCATCCGTTAATGTAGGAGCTCATATATACCTTCCCCAAGGTGTCTTAAATCATAGAATAGATTTAGGGGAAATGCTGGCCCAAGGTTCTTATCTGCACTTTACTATGTAACTAAACATTGAACCCCTCTTACAGATTCAGAAAGAAAGCACACACAGATCATTCTTGAATGAAAAAGATAAAACAAGAAAATAGGACAGTGGGTCATGCAGAAGTAAAGGAGTGAGATCCTTGGTTGTAGTCTATTGCATAGAAATAAACAAACTACCTTTTTGAAGTATTTACTATGTGTCAGACACTGTGTTAGATGGCCTTGCAATCTTTTTCTCATTTAACCCTTTGAGGCAAATTCAATAAAAAATTATATGATTAATTTTCTGCATACCAGAAAAGAAGCAGAAGGGTATCATTTTCCTCTTTCCTTCCACTTTACATTTTTCCCATACATAATTTTCCCATGAACGAACAAATGAATAGATGTAAATAAGCCTTGAAGATTATTTCCTTCTTTGAGGTCGTGACTGGCCTCAGAACTTGGAAAGTAAGAGTATTCTATCAATAGACACCAGATACCCTTTACCACTAAAATAAACAGTGAAACGAAATAAATGATAAAATTACTTATAATGTCAAGTTCAAATTGGCAAATATTTACTGAGTACATCATATGAGCCTGGCACTGTACTGGAAAGGGACGCTGGGGAAAAGCTGTTTAAGACAGAACTGTCTCTCTTTGTGGCCAAGTATGTCCCTCTGAGCTCCCCATAAGGCACCCAACAGATATGTAAAGAAAGGAGGGAGAAATATTTTGGATATTGACAGTATGAGCTGTTATACACCACTTCACAGAAAACATGGAAATGAGGCATATTTAAAAGAGAAAGTTTGTGGGAAATGTAAAGTACATTTATGACTACAGTATTAATAAATTAAAATATGAAATAATACCTTCCCTACAATAATTTAAACCTTGCATTTCGAGAACATATTGGTCTTCAGAAATTTAAGTTTTATCTGAAAGATGAGGTAACTAAGGCTCAATATCATAGACTCCAAGCCAAAACTATAAATCAAGTCGTATCTAAACATATTTGTCATAGTTATTCCTTTGAACAAAGCTTGTGTTACATACAGGGTGTGGAGAAAAAAGTTGAAGGAAAAATCAGTGCATAAAGCCCAATTTTTGTGTGATAGTTAATCATAAAAGAGTATTAAAATCACTATTTACTCATCAATTTTTAAAAAATGACTAAGAGTCAAAGCAAAAAAAAAAAAAAAAAGCCATAAATACTACTGGAAACAAGGAATAAACTGAAAAAGTAGTAAAAACTATGCCTGCTGAAAATCATAGATAACATTTTTAAATTACTGTCAAGAGAATGAAAAAAAATAAACATTTACCATGCACACACTTGTGCCTTAACAGCATTTCTTCTCACTGTTAATATCATGGCTCCGAGGAAGAAAAATCTTTGCACAGAGTCATCTCTACCCACATTTAGGCTAACACTCTGATGACACACCTCTCATTTTTATTGTCTTGTCATCCTACTACCATATTTTGCCTAGTTGTAATTTTTGTTGATGTTTAAGTGATATTTTACACTTAATTGTCTCTTTTTATTGAACACGTTTTCACAGTTCTTCACATTCTTTGTGGGAAGAGAGATACACACACACACACACACACACACACACACACACATACAAATCAGGCTGGAAGTTTCAGGCACAACGTTTTGATAGACTATCTAGGCATTCCAAAGTTCATCATTGGGCTGGTCTAGCATTTTAACAAATGAAATCACTATTAGAGTTATCATTGCTGACCTTTCAGTCTCAGGCACATGGGCAGAGTCCTCCATCTTCAAAAAATTTTTCAAAAAACAAAGTTTAATTGTTTTTAAAGGGGCCGGAGACGTTACTAAATCTATGGGCAATTTTTTTTCATTTGTATTTATTTATTTATTTATTTTAGAGACAGGGTCTTGCTCTGTTGCCCAGGCAGGAGTACAGTAGCATAGTCACAGCTCACTGTAATCCAGAACTCCTGGGCTTGAGAGATCCTCCTGCCTCAGCCTCCCAAGTAGCTAGGACTATAGACAAGCAACACTAGGTCTGGCTAATTTTTTTTTTATTATTTCTCATAGAGACTCGCTATGTTTCCCAGGCTGGTTACAAACTCCTAGCCTCAAGCAATCCTCCTGCCTTGGCCTCCCAAAGCACTGGGTTTATAGGCATGAGCCACCAAGCCTGGCGGCAATTTTTCTTAAAGTATCTCACAAATATTAAATATATTAGCACACCAGAACAAATCAGCCTTAAAATAAAGCCACAGGATGCAAAATAAACCACAGTAATTATCTTCCCATAGATCATTAACCTCCTAAATGAATAGCCATTTCAAGACTACAGAAAATATGGAAAAGAAAAGGGCTTTGACCACTCGCAAGATACCTCATGTTCAGAAAGAAGCAAAAAACATTTGAATTTTTATTTATTTATTTATTTACTTTTGGTTTGAGGGTTTTATTGTTGTTTGGAATTTTTGGTGTCTGGGTTTTGGTTTTGGGGTTTTTTGGTGATAAAAAATATATATTTTTCATTTATCTCTAAGTCAGGTTTTCATTTGTCCATTCAACAAGACTGAGCCAAATACTAGAGGAAAAGACAGGAACAAAACACATTTTTAGTCCTCAGGGAGGTCACAGACAGGAAAGCAGAACGTCCACAGCCTGGAAAGTTCTGTGTCCTAGGTATCAGTGCAGGAGGGAAGGGTGCAGGGGGACAGGTGCTAATCTATACTGGAATTAGGACAGGAACAGCTTCCTGGAGATGAATCAAGTCAATCTGGGAGAAACGAGAAGCAGTCTGGCTGTCTGGGGCACTGGGGAGGGGCAGTGGCCGTTGGGCCAGCAGTGAGGGCAGTGGAGCCTGTTTGTGCAGTGTCAGTTCAGGGAACTACAGCTGAAGAGGAAGACGGTGAAGGAGAGTGGCTGCTGGAGAAGAGGCTCAGAAGAAGTTGTCGTAAATGGACTTTTGTTACAAGTTAAGAACTTTGGACTTCATACTGCAGGCACTGGAGAAACATGGAGAGGTTTGAAGCAGAATGTGATATGATTACATTTCAGAATTTAAAAAAAATCACTCTGACTGAGGGAAATAGAAATGGCAGGTACTTCAGGAAACAATTCTAGGGGGTAGAAAAGAGAGAGGGATGGCAAGGCAGAATCAAGTTGGCCAACTGGGAGACATTTCCAGGGTGCTCCGTGCCAGCTGAGGGAATGAATGAGATCTAAAATTCCACCTCTGCAGTCAGCTCTCTAAGCCCTCCATCCTGATACAAGGTTTCCTCCAGCAGGAAGGGAGACACTTATCCCACAAAGGTCAACTTTGCTTCCCAAGCCCTGAACAAAGGGCTGTACTCATTTAAATGAAGGCTCTTTTTCTAATTTATAAACCCATAGGGGGTGCCTCATTCTAAAACACATAAAGACAGTGGTATAAGCTAGGGACCTTGAGTTTGCAATGACTCAAGTGAGAAATAAGGTCCTAAACTAAAGCAGGGAGGATACCAGAGTAGAAGACACTTACACTGGCTCTTCATTCACCAGACATTGTGAGAGTGTACTCAGTGCCAATCTCTGAGCACACACGGAGTCATAGATAAGCTCTGCCCTGGGACGAGTGATAGAGTGATGTGGGAGGTGATGGAAACAAATGCATTTTCTAATGTCAAAATATGATTTGTAATCTGCCTTCTCAACCTACTCCTGATCCTAATGTCACTGTCCTGAGTAATGGTTTTTGTACTCCAGGACCTCAAAATCCAAAAATCGACTTTGAATCATCCTTGTTCCCAGTCACCAAGCTTTGTAGGCTAGCCCTGCAATGCAGCTTATTCTTTCCTCCTCTTTGTCATTCCCACTGCTTCTAATCCAAATTCTTATTACTCCTCACTTGAGCTCCTGCAGTCAGCTCTCCAAGTCCTTCCTCCTGGCACAGGTTTCCTCTTGCAGAAGCTCCAAGTTTTCCTTCCAAACTTATCTCCCTCTATTTTCTGATTATTTCTAATATTCACTCTGTCTCAAACAACCTTACCCTCCACCTCTGACTATCAAAACCCTACACATTACACACTTCCCCATGAAGGGCTGTCCTGTGACGTAGTGAGCTTACTGTGTTCTGTAAGTGCTAAACAAAAATCTTGAAGAAATTCTGTTCAGAGAATTCTAGCATTAAGTAGAGGGTTGATAGGATCAGTAGTTCCCAAAGCCTAGTTTATCATCTGAATCACTAGGAGAACTTTTTAATGATTCTGACTCCTAATTCCTTCACTCACGAAATTCTGGTTCCGGTCGGGCGCAGTGGCTCAAGCCTATAATCCCAGCACTTTGGGAGGCCGAGACGGGGGATCGCGAGGTCAGGAGATCGAGACCATCCTGGCTAACACGGTGAAACCCCGTCTCTACTAAAAAATACAAAAAACTAGCCGGGCGAGGTGGCGGGCGCCTGTAGTCCCAGCTACTCGGGAGGCTGAGGCAGGAGAATGGCGTGAACCCGGGAGGCGGAGCTTGCAGTGAGCCGCGATCCGGCCACT